CTAATAGACTAGTAGGAAAGGAGAACAAATAAAAATGTGCTATAAAAATAAAGCATGCATGTAATGATTTAGGCAGTTTTCTTTATTTCCAAAAAACTCATATCACCTATATTTAAAATTTTGTAAAAAGGCTTATCGTTAAAATGGAATATAAAAGTGCATTTTTTTTTCCTTTTCTTTTTCTTATCTCTTGTTTGGATGGCCCTTGAAGAACATGCTCATGATCCAATATCATTTGTTACCGGAAACTCTAATGTGATGCAACAGAGAAACTATGGGACCAAAGCTTGAAAACTGTTACTCTCCACTTTAATATCAAATTACCTAAATGATCCTGAGAAAGTCACTTGCCCATTTTGAGGATGCATATTCTTCTCTGTATGATAAGGATAATAGTATAAATGATCACCTTTCCCAGAGATTGAGTAAACAGTATAGACATCTAAATTGATAAAATTCAAAGATAGTCTTCTCATTCATAAAATGTTATAAAGTGGTATTCTTTTCATCGTTATTATTATTATATGGGAATTCCTGATCCTAAAAGGTCTACAAACTGATTGTTTCCTTTTCTTATAACTGCCGTTTTGCCTGTATTCCTTATATTCTCAAAAAATTAGTCTTCTGTATACCTGTTTGCCCAAGCCAGAAGCCTTGCAAGGGTTGTTTTGTTGTTGCTGTTGTGTTGTGTTTTGTTTTGATATATTCATAGCTCTTTTTTACACTGTAACATGAACTGGTATCAAAGTTCCACATTTATGTATACTGAATTTGTTTCAACCATATTGGTTATTCTCAAGGTGACATGCTCTTGTATGTGACTTTTCTTTCCTGGAAAGTTGGTTCTTTTTTTTAAATTAAAGTTTATTGGGGTGACAATTGTTAGTAAAGTTACATAGGTTTCAGGTGTACAATTCTGTAATACATCATCTATACATCACGTTGTGTGTTCACCACCCAGAGTCAGTTCTCCTTCCATCACCATATATTTGATTCCGTTTTCCCTCATCTACCACCAGAGAGCTTGTTCATTTTGCCTGAAGTACCTCTTGTTCTCAAGTGCACCTCACCACCTGGCTAATTCTTACTCCACACATCCAGTCTAGGAAGTTCTCTCTGACCCTATTTTAGATAGTAACATTTTATGTTTTCTCTATGAGTTATTGCATTATATTCTAATTATGTACTCATCTGCCTACCCACACAATGGTAAAATAACTGGAGACAGAGACTGTGCCTTTTGTTTCTATACTCCTACCTAGAACAGTGTTAGATGTACACTATGCTCAAGTAATGTGAATTGAATCAATGAATGAGTAAATTTATTTTCTTTTAACTAGGAATATCACACATTGCCTTTAATGTCTATTATAATGATCTTTTCTTATTATGATAACCTGAATTAACATCTTAATCATCCAAAAAGATAAATTTATGATTAGTACAGTTTTAACATCAAATTTTTCATTCTACTTCAAATGTGTGTGTGTTTATGTGTGTTTATATATACATACATTCTGCATAAATGACTTTTATAGATATTGAATGCAAATAATTTGGATTACCCAAAATTTTTGATAAATTAGAACACTGATTCCCAAACTAAACTAGATAACAAAATTATGAGAATCATTGAATTTTAGCTGAATTTAAATGTATCAACCTGGAAGATGATCTGTCTACTTGTATCTTCTTTAGCACTCTTAGTAACCACCATATCCAATTGATACTGTGATAATTAGCATACTATTATTAAAAGATAGAAAAGACCACCAAACTACTTCCTAATTGTTTAGTGCTTCATCACATTTGTCCCATGATCTTTATCCTCCCTTAAACAAATCCTTCCCCTATCCCTCACTAAATATCAGGCCAGAAACCACATTTCTCAAAGAAACAGAGGTCAGTAATATTGGCATATTCAAAATATATGCAAATAACTATGGTAATCTGATGTAGGAAGAATCAATTGCATTTTTATTAAATAATCTTACAATTTATGCTGTCATTTTTAAAGCAGAATTGCACAATCTTTGAGACAACTATGTCATTTTCATTTTGTAGCTCATCTCATAGAAGCTAAAATCCAGGCAGCCCTTTTGTCTCACTCTGTGGAGCTAGGATAGAGCAAGGACAAAAAGGTGTCATTAAGCTTTATCTGTTAGGATAGGTGGCTTTAATTGTTTCATAAAAAGGTCCAATTTTTGTCTTTTTTAGTTATTATGATATATTCATATCATAACCCAAATATTATCTGAAAATGAAATCAATCAAGAGAGTTTTTCATAACATCTACAATAACTTAATGCTTCCCTGTTTCAATTGACACTTTTGATGGTTGGGTTTAAATTGATGATAACTTAAGGCTGGTTTCAGTATATGGGATAATAACTGTAATGTGGGAGAAATAAATCTTAAAGCTAGATTTAGCTGTGTTCACTAGGCTAGGATGCAGTTTTTGCTTTATAACTAGGAAATTCCAAAAGACTATTATTATAAATAAGTAATTGTACTTTCATTTAGAAAATGAAGCATCTTGAGTAGTAGAAAATGAAAAGCTAAGCCAGCGTATTGACTTTGAAGAACAAGATAATGGTTAGGACACAGTAAAATAAATATCTTTTGATAAAATACAAAAGGAATTAAATTATTCATATTCTTATGAGTGAATGATAACAAAATTTAGTATATTTGTTCATTATTTCTTGAAACTCATAGAAAGAGTCTCTTATGACTCTGTTTCAGTTAAAATAGAATTGACTCTTCTGAAATTTCTGTTGTTATGGTAAAGAAAATATTCTAAAAAGTAACAAAATGGATCGATAATTATATAGTGAAAAGTTAAAACTTGCACATTACCTTGGAAACAGAATAATACTTACAGTACACAAGTCTTCTCTATTAGGTACTGCTTTTACCCAAATTAATGTTTAAAATTAAGCTATAAAATATATAATGATATCACTACTTTGCCAATTATAAACATAAAGGACCAAAAAACGGAGTCAGTATATTAGCACGAAGCAAATCTAATTGTTGCATATGGAATGATAAAAGCAGTGATTTGGTGAAACGTGAAATTAATTTAGAAGACAATTTAGAGCACTGCAGCTATCATAAAACTTGCTCCTGTGAATGTGTCCTATTTTAAAACATCAATTTTTTCTCTAAATTTGTTATTTTAACAAGCGTGTTTGGTAGGTTGAACTTCTACAGAGATCATTTTGGAGTATGTAATCACTCTAAATTATAGTGCAAAAAACAATGGAAAGATACACCTTCTCTACCTACCAAAACAACATAATTGAAAGTAAATGATAATGGTCATAATCTATAGAACTTTGGCAAACACACAACAGACAGCGTTGACACCTTAATGTGCATTCATCCCTCATTTGAAATCTCCAGGCTTCTGTCCTTGATCCCTACAATGACTTGTTCTCCATTCTCACAGTGAAATGCCAATGAAACACAGCGCCGATAGAAATCTTTTCTGGTATTGCCTCTGTGTGATTCCTTTTGAATACATGCATAATGCACCTTGCTATTTTTTCTTCAAAGATACTACTCACGTCTCCTGCTCTAAAGTGGTACAAGAATTATATTGTCCATATTTGTGACTATCACATATACTGCAGAACATGATCCAAGAGTTTGTTCTTCGTTTGTCTTTCCTCCAATATTTAAGGGCACTAAAATAAAAGAAATCTGTACTTTTTATTCATTTCTACAATATATTTATTGGTTATTTAGAAAATTGTATTTAAAACTTTGAAGTATACTTGTTGTAAAATCCCATCATTTAAAAATCATTTCATGGTGATAGTCACTTTTTTATTTTTGATTTCTCAATAAGAATTTCTGTACATTTACACCTAATGTTTTCCATGTTAAAACCTACAAAACAGGATTTACCACACTGCAAATAATCCAGTCTTAATTCCTAATTTAAGATTTTCAATGTTTGTTACAAACCCAGCTCGAGGATCTAAAGACAGGTCCCTGGGAAACTTCAGCTTTTTGTTAACGAGGATAGTAGGGTATAATCCATTGAGTTTGGATACTTCAATGATCCTTTTTTCTGTGTCAGACCAATAGAGGTTTTTTCCAATCCAATCGACAGCGAGGGCATTGGGAACGGCTGTGTTATGCACTACCTAACAAAATGAGAATTTTAAAAGTTAACAGTGTAAA